AGGAGAATCCCTCCCCGCGGCCTCGGCCGCGGGCTGCCCCTCGTATTCTGGGGGGGGCAAGGAATGCTCTTCTTATACAACGACGACCCAGGCAATGACAACGGAAATGTTTGCAAGCGATTTGGTTGTAGAGGTGACGAGGCGCCCATCCCTGGATGGTGTCCTGATGAAGGAGGCGAGAGTGGTGCTGGAGCGCGTTCCCATCGAGGTCTTGAACGCCTCGCAGCAGTGCCTCCCGGCAGTCAGCGACACACCAGACCCCGTTGCGAGGATGGACTGCGACGATGGGGCGGCGTCGGATTCCGACTGCAGACCCGTCGTCGCGTCGGAGTGGTTTGGCGCGAAACGGCCCCGCCTTAGTGATTGCTCGACGGATGATGACCGAGCGGCGTCCCCAGTGACGGCGAAGTGGCGCCAACAAGAGAAGAGGGCGGCGGCCAAGGCTCGGGCCGCAAGCAAGGAAGAGGACTTGGTGAAAGAAACAGGGCTTGCTCGCTTCCGGCGGGAAACGCGGGCCGCACTGTTTCCTCGCCCAGCGGTAGGCGCAGGAGGAAAGGACGCCGCTCAGATCCAAGAGCAGGTACGGGAGGACTTGGAGGTCATCACCAAAGTGGCGACCAAGTCCTCCAGCTTGAAAGGTACCTTTGTGCGGGCCTTGAAGGACGCCGCGGCGTCCATCAAGGATGCGGTGGAAGTTCTCGGGGCCCGCACCCAAACAGAGGAGACTCGGCAGCTGCAGGCGGATAATGCCCGCCTGCGCGCCGAAATGGTCGCTCTCCGCAAGGAGATGGAGGCGATCAAGGACGACCTGCGGAAACGGGGTTCCGCGGGCCACTCTGACCCGGACGTGTCGTTGGAGGCCGCCCCCGCATCACGGCCCCCGCATTCACCGAACGAGGCGCTCTCCGTGGAGGAGATCTGTCGTGCAGTGATGGTCCAGGTCGGCGGGATGATGAACGCCCGCCTGGCCTCGCTGGAAGACAGACTTCTCCCGGAGAGGAACCTGCGGCCGCCCCTCGCGGCCGATAAGAAGAAAGGCGAGGGCACATACGCTGCCAAGCTCGCCCGACAGCCACCCCAACTGGCGGCTCAACCTGGACCCAGCGGCACGCAACGTAGGGTGCCATCGGCGCCGCAGCAGCGCCAATCGGGTGCAGCCCAGACCCGGCCTAAGACCCAGGGGACGTCCTCTCCCCCTAGTGGAGGAAAAGAGAGGAAGAAGAAAAGAAAGAGGAACAAAAAGAAGAAGGCCTCGCCACCCGGGCAGCAGCATTCGCAGCCCGCGGTTGGCGAGTGGATAAAGGTGGGCCCCAAAAGGCGGCCCCAAGTGAAGAGCGGTGCTGCTAAACTGCAGGCGCCCCGGTCATCAGCAGTTATCATCACACTGCAACCGGGCGCGGCGGAGCGGGGGGCCACCTACGCCAGTGTCATCGCGTCGGCCAAAGAAAGGATCAACCCGGCCGACTTCGGAGCCCAGGGCGTTCGCCTTCGGAAGGCCGCCAACGGGGGACGCGTCTTCGAGTTCCCGGGCGCCTCCAGTGGCGAGAAGGCGGACTCCCTGGCCCAAAGGCTGCGGGAGATCCTGGACGATGGAGTCGTCCGCGTGTCTCGTCCCATCAAGACGGCGGCCCTACGGGTGGCTGGCCTGGACGACGCCACCACCGCGGCTGAGGTGGTCGCCGCCATTGCTGCTGCGGGAGGGTGCCCTGCAGAGCAGCTGCGGGCTGGCGCCATGTCAACCGGCCGCGACGGACTGGGCTCAATAGTGGTCCAGTGCCCCGTCGCGGCGGCGAAGAAGATTGTAACAGACGGTCGCCTACTGGTGGGCTGGGTGTCCGCCCAGGCAAGGCTGCTGGATCCCCGGCCCACCATGTGCTACAGATGCTTGGCTCCAGGGCACCTCTCTGGCCAGTGCAAAGAGGGGGCGGATCGCACCGGTGCATGCTTCCGGTGCGGCCAACCAGGGCACAAGGCCCGCGGATGCACGGCGGCGCCTCACTGCGTCGTCTGCGCCGCGGCCGGTGCCCCTGCGGAACA